ATAACACGGTCTCATCTATGGCAATAATTTTATTTTTCAACTTCCATTGATTAAATACTTCATAATCCTTGTCGTATACGAGTCTGGATTTCTTCGGCAATAAATTATTCGCAGCTTTGGCTGCATTTTCTATGATATTCTTGGATAAATTCGTATTCATTTCCATTATTTCTATAAGACTACAGAAAGAAAGCCGCAATAACATTCACTAAATATAATGATGACAGCAATATTCAATAAACGTCAAAATATCAACAAATGTCATGCCTACTATGAGAAGAAAAATGGAAAGAAAATGCTAGGAGCAATGAACTAATTTTAAAATTGATTTTTCATTATAATAAAATAGTTTTTTCGTGAAAAATAAAATCTTGTATGCACCACGAACGTTACTAGATCCTAATGCCCATCGGGCAACATTCATTCCTTTGGGCCGAATGTTACCCTCCGGGCGTTAGGAGCTATATAACGCACTTGGTACATAAATACATATTGGTGAAAATGCAGTTTAGAGTGAATCCGCGTATTACTAAAATTTTCAGTTTATGTGAAAGTATATGTCATTTGAAGCTTAAAAATAAAAAAAAAACTCTTGGCGGTCACTAATTTAAATAAATTTAATCGCTTTTAAAATGTTCACTTTTTCACTTGCAATGGTCAATCAGGTGACGTTTGTGTACTAGTTTATGAGATTGTTAAATTTATTATAATGACATGGAGATGCAATGGACACATAAACAAGAGTAACTCCGATGTCTCCAGGGACCGTATTCTTGAGTCGTAGGAACGGCGTTCCTATAGGGACCGTGCGTGAAATATAGAGGCAGCACTACTGCCGAACTTAGCCCTCTCTAGTGTTTAATTTTAGAATTAAATGGGGTAAACATTGCAAGTAAATAATGAAGGGTATTTTTTTAAATATTAAATATAGTTAAAAATAGATACCGGCCCGTACCAAACAATCGTGTACATGGTCAAAATGACGTAAAATGTGAAACATTATTAAAATCTGGACATGCATATACATTTTAAGCAAAAAGATTTAAATGGCTAAGTGACAATAAATTGTAAAGTTGTACCTTAAACAAGTGTATCCAATGTTAAAATATAGGTATTTAGTAACACTGAATTTAAAAGTATTACAATAACATTTAAAAAATGTAAATTAATAAAAAAGATTGATAATAATAATTATAAATCTTTTTAGCTTTATGTTAATCGAAATGTCATTCATCCACTGGCGTTTATGAGATGTTCAATGATACATATATTATAGATTGCTCACCCAACTATAAAAAAATTATGAAAAGCTGGTTGCAATGTGCCTTTCCTAATGCTCACTAAATAGAGCCGTTCTAGCCCAAATGTGTTAAAATAAAATTTCAGCATTTTAATCTTTAGAAAAAGATAATAATTAAAGTTTTACTTCAAGACATGTCATTATGTATTTGGAAAGTTGAGTTTTCATGTAGTTAAATAATATTAAGAGATCTAAACAATTTTTATAACAGATGGATATAAATAATTTTAGACTACTATTTCAGAAACAATTCTACATAAAATACATAATTGCAATATGTAATACAATTTTGAAAAGGTAATGTAAACAATTTTGATATGAGGTATGAACAACTTTGGTAAGAGTTGTAATTGGACACTTATCTATTATTCTGAATAATGTTTAATGGTAATGTCGCTAAAAAAATTTACAAAAAATAACTGAATTTTTAATATTTTAAAGTTTGTTACAATCTCTTTTTTGACAGTAATTGCAATGTATTATTTATGATTTGTTTATTTTAATAATAAATGAGAAATAGTTAATAAATTGTAAAGAGGGCCGTGATATTTTTGTCAAATTGGATATTCTTATTTCATAACATTCTACATTAGTTTTAATCAACAGAATAAACCATTATCTGTAAAATTATATTTATATAAAATGATCATTTAAATATGTAAAAATCTTAATGACAAGAAAACACTAAAGATTCTAATTTTTCTGTAAATGATTTCTTTACAACTAAGTGCTCAAAATTGATACAAGCTAGAAAAAAAGAAAACTTTGCCCAGTGAAATACGCTTTTCGTCGTCTGATTTACATATGGATAAGCAATCTTTGTAATTATGTATAGCATTGGGTGTGAGGCATAATTGTGCTCTGTGGAAATTTATAAAATTTCTTTACTATCGAATGAAATCCAGGTTTCTAAAGTGATGTGTTTGTACATCCACGGATGCAACAAGTTTTTTCGATATTGATATTACGAAAATAATTCGACTTCATTTTATTAATAATTATTAAACAATAAATGCCGTATAAAACATTAATAAATACCCCCCAAAAAGTTCACATTTTTGTCACCAGTTAGCGTTAAAGTCATGACGCACGGTCCCTATAGGAATAGAGGGCGTGTTTCTCCTGAAATTCGCTAAGCCCGTATTCTTGAAGTCATAGGAATGTTCACTTCCTACGAAAGTCGTAGGAACATCGTTTTACTGGTATTTCGTAGGAGAACGCCGTGTTCTCTCAAGAATTATTAGTAAACGCATGCGGGGTAGCTGATTTATTATTTTTGGCCCGTAATTAAGTAATTTTTTTAACTTTTTTCATATTCGTACATTTCGTATTTTTATATTTTTAATAAAATCATTATTGATAACAATAGAGTGAATAATTTATTAGCATAAGTAAAATATTATTTGGTACCTCATCACAAAAATCAATTATTGTAATTCTAATAAATGCATGGGTACCTATACATACCTACATATCTATTATTCGTATTCTGGGAATTGTAAATTAGGGAAAATCCCAAAATCCTAATAAATAAGGGTCGTACTATTTAGTAGGTAGGTACCATTTAAGCTATATTTATTGCCTAAAATGGGAATACAAATTATGAAAAATCCCAAAATTGATATTAGTGTTCAGTGTTAAGAAGTTTATAAATTGTCTTCTATGACAAATATCTTTACTGAAAGCAAATTGTATGGTTTTGTTTTGTAAAAATAATTACAAAATTAGAAAAACACAAAGAATGATTGTTAAAAATGTTAATTTAATCCCATTAAACTGAGAAAGTGATATTTGAAAAGTTGAAATAAAGTATAAGTATTGACAATAATCTAGTTAAGCTACAGTTAGTTAAAGTAGGTAGCACGGAGGAAGGATAATTAAGAGTTGCAGATTCCGTAGGTAGTAAACAAAAGTTATAAAAAAATTTTCGAAATAAATTATAACCCTTTATATAATAAGTTAGTTGAAAATATTTCAAATTTCTATGAGGCGGTCACTCCAGTTTATATAATTAGTCTAATCTATATATTTGTAAACATATGTATTGAATTTTCTTTACCGAATTTTTATTAATAAAATTATTTATTTGATATTAATACAAACTTACTTTTCTTTAGCACAAAATTTAAAACAAAATCGACTACCTATACTATAAATTTCCGGTTTGCAAATTTAATTTTTAATTAAGTATCTTAAAAAAGTGAACTCTGTAATGGCTGTACGTTTTTCTTTTCCCTCTTCTATGCTTTTAATAAAAAAAATATATATATTTTTATCATATTATAGAAAACTCCTACGAAACGACCTCTTAATCACACTCTTAATTTCTAATTCATAATTAATATTCTCCAAATATGTCAAATTCAATACGGATAGGTGACAATTTTAATATTTTCTTCTTTTATTATCACAAAATTATATCCAGTTAACAAAATATAGTTCAAATGTCTACAAAAATCAAGAAAAAGAAGATATTAGAGTTGGCAACACCGTGCACTTTATTCCCCCGTTTGATCACGTTCACCGAGTTTCGGGAATACGGCCAAACCACTTCGAGAGAAACGCTGTAGGATGTGATCGTTCACCTCTCCTATAGCAACGCTCACATCGTCCAAGCTCGAGAATCGACGCACATGCCGTATAGGTTAGGTAAATTAATTGAGTTTTTTAATTTTTCGCATTTTTTGTATACTTTTTTACGGAACAATCCGCCATCGTTTTTGTATAATTTTTGCTACATAACCTGCAATGGCTCTAAAACCTACAGGTTAGGTAAATAAGTGGTTTTCTAAATTTTTCTCATTTTTGCTAAATAACCTTCAATGGCACTAAAACCTACAGGTTAGGTAAATTAGATAGGTTTCTCTCATTTTATGTATAATTTTTTTTTGCGAGGTAGTCCCGATGTCTTCAGGCCGTATAGGTTAGGTAAATTAAGTTTTTTTTTTCATTTTTCGAATTTTATGTATACTTTTTTACGAAACCATCCGCGATGGTTCCAGGCCTACAGGTTAGGTAAATTAGTTAGGTTTCTGTTTAATTTTTGCGAAATTTCCTGCGATGGCTCTAAAACATACATGTTAGGTAAATTAGTTAGGTTTTTAAGATTTTTCTTATTTTATATATAATTTTTTGAAGAAACAATCTGCGATGGCCCCTCGTCTCACAGGTTAGGTAAATTAGTTAGGTTTTTCTCATTTTATGTGTAATTTTTTTTTGCGAGGTAACCCTAATGTCTCCAGACCGTATAGGTTAGATAAATTAATTCAGTTTCTTTTAATTTAGCATATTCTATAGCAAGAAATTGATCAAAATGTGATATATAAAAAACATATTTTTGGGCGTTTCCAGGGCAAAAAAAAGTATTTTGAAATGTGTTTCAGAGGGTCTAAAATAGCCTTAAAAAAGCCCGTTCGACCGATGGCGGATTTATCCTTATTTTTATATTTTCTAATGAATAAACACATCATTTTTTTATTGGTGATGTTTTATTTTGCAAATATGGAAAATAAAAATTTTTGGGGAGGGGGTAAATTTCATGAGACCGCTGAGATTTTTTTCATTTTTGTGTTTGGAAGGCTTGTTTACTTATGAAAAATATTTTTTTTTTGTTAAAATGTGGATTCACTCTAAACTGCATTTTTTCCTAAATATTATTTTATTCCAATATTCTTTATAATCAATTATAATTTTTTTCTAGGTGGGTAATAGAGATGTTTCGCATAGTGTCCGACAAAGCCCAACTAATCCAAACATGTGGGAGGTGGTATTTCATCCAGTACAAGCAGCACCACATAGAATTACATTATATTATAACGGAGTCCCGAAATTTGGGGTTCTGGAAATACCCGTTAAAGGTCCTGGAAGTGAACCATGGGCAGGTGGTCTAGGTGAGTATATCTTAGCTGTTAATCTCCACTTTTTCAACTGTTGAAAATCAAGTATTGATGAATACCTACACTTAAAAATTATGTCTCAATGTTTTTTTAGGTCTTTACCAAGCTAAAGTCGGTAAAGTTAACTCGTTCCAGTTGGAAACTCAGGGAAGATCTGCAAGAGAGTTTGACGTCGTCGTCAGCGGTCCGACAGGTTCTGCGGTTCCAGTTAGATGCTATCAAACGAAAACCGGAAAATTACAAGCCGAATTTACTACCAGAGAAATCGGTCCACACAATGTTGAAGTGTTGCACCAAGGGAAACACCTTGTCGGGAGTCCCTTTACGTGTCAGGCTTTCGATCCTGATAATGTTAGAATTACTGATGTTCCTACGTCTCAAGGAAACGTCGGAGACAAGGTTCATTTTAATGGTAAGGTAATTAATAGAAGATTACGTGAAGATGTTTTTATTTTTCTCTATGTTAGAGAAAATAATGGGGAAATAGTTTGGTGAAAGGTTTTTATTAACGAATAACTATTTGAACAAACAATACTAAAATTAAAATAGCAGCTCAAGTTAGGTGCGCGTTGGTTAATTTTCCAGAAGTACTTACGTTGACATTGTCATTGACAGACGACAATACAAGTAGTCATCTTTATAAAACAAAAGTAACTAATTCAGACAGGGTTGTCAACTATAATAGATACGGGTATTTTAACACCGTCCCTCAAACCTGACTGAGTTTGTTTCTAAAATAGAAACAAAATACAATCCGTCCCTTAAGCTCAACTTATTAATTCAACTCTAAATTTAACATTTTAACAAATCTACTAAATTTTTCAAGACACAAACTCTTGGTAAATATATCATCTGCTAGCTGATCATTGGTATTAATATAAATAATAACATTATTAACCACAAGATCAACAATAAAGTGAAATTTAACTTCTATTTGTTTACATCTTTTATTATTCTCAAAATTTTGAAATAATTTGATTGTGTTCATACAAATTAATAGGAAAAACATACTGAATTTTTAAATCATCTAAAATATTCTATAAAAATAGAAGTTCACAGCTTGCCATACATAATGCAACAAATTTTGATTTTGTACTGCTTAGGGTCACAATTGACTGTTTTTTGGAAGCCCAACATACTAAGTTGTCAAATAATTTAAAACAAAAACCACTTATAGACAATCTGCATCACTAAAGCCAAATAAACTATTATCAGATACACGAAAAACTAATTTATAATAAAGTGTAAACTTTAAATATTTTAAGACTCTGAGCAAGTGTATTATCTTGAAATTTAGAGAAATATCCCATACAATAACAAATTTCAGGCCTTGTGCCCATCATTACATATACCAAAGAATCCAAAAGCTATTTTTAAGGCAATCTAGTTTTTAAGGTCTCATTTGAATTTTTCTCTAAGTTTAAGTTTTTTTTCTCCATTGGTATTTTTATATTTTTACAATCCTCTTACTAGATTTTTAATAGCAGAACTTTGATCAATAGTTATAATTTTATTGTTAAAATCTCTTAACACATGAATTCCCAAAAAGCTTTTAATATTTCCTAACTCTTTCATTTTAAAAGCTTCACAAAGTTACATGAATCAAAAAGTTTTTAACATTACATTGTAGCAAAATATCATCCACATAAAGCAATAGATAACATCGTAAGTCCTCTTTTAAATAGGTAAATAAACAATAGTCTGATTTTGAAAGTTTAAAGTTAATATTTGTCATAAATGAATTGAAGTGGTCATTCCACACTTTTGGAGCATGCTTTAAGCCATATATAGATTTGTTAAGCAAACATACTTTATTTATATCCTTTTTATCAACTATCAATTCCTCAGGAATGTGCATATAAATCTTATCATTAATAAAACCTTTTTAAAACGCGTTCTTGACATCTAATTGCACAAATAGCTAAAAGAATTCTAAAAGTTGAAAGTTTTGCAACTGGTGCATGGATTTGTGAAAAATCATTTAAATCTTGCTTAAAACCTTTGACTACTAAACGAGCTTCATAAGTTGTTTTATTCTCACCTTCGTCTTCCGCTCTAAAAAATTATCTGTTACTTAATATGTTTTCATCTTCAGGCTTCTTGACTAACTGCCAAGTGTCGTTATCTTTTAAAGCATCCAATTCTTCCTCAACGGTCCTTTTCCATTTTGGCCATTCTAGACTTTTCTGTGCCTCTTTATAGGATTTTGAAACATCATTGCATTCACTTATTAGGGCTAAACAGTCAAAATCTACGTTATAGTCTTCTAAATATGATGGTAGTTGCCTTCTTCGTCTTTTTTTACTTTTGAAACGAACTTCCATATTTTCTTCTTGTGATTCTTCTTCTACACCTCCATCAACTTTTTCTTTACTTTCTTCTACTGCTTCATTAATTTCTTCAGTCCATTACTTTCTTCTATTTCACAGTCTTTTTCTTCCAAAAAATCATAACTTTTCTTATAATTAATTTCTTAACAAAATCTTTCTTCATCAAATATAACATTTGTGTATAATTTTACTTTTTTCTATGTCCCACTATTTTTTACCTATTTAATTTTGAATGGTAGGGTAATTATGTTTGATTGGACTTTGCACATATTTCACACACATTTTACTTATTACTATTTTTCAGACACATTCTACTTACTAGATCATTTATTTTCTGCAAAGATTCAAAATTATGTTGGCCATATCTTTTATGCCAAAGCTTACTATTATTTTTAGCTAACATAGCCTTTTTAATTGATATAATATTTTATATAAATTTCCCTCTCTTTTACCTTAAGCATACACCTTTTGATTGTTTTTAATTGAAATAATACGTGTTATCTCAAAACCTGCCTTTTCTATACTAGAAATGCTTAAATCTAGAATACAATATACATTTTTTAAAGTAACAAATATATTTTCATTTTCTAAAACACTCACTGCCTTGATGTCACCACAGCAGGTGGCAACCATATCCTTTCCTTTCTCAGCTAGTTGAATTTTTGTAGGTTCATCAAAGTAGCTTTTGTTTAATTAAACATCTTCATTATTGATATAATGGAGTGTGGCACCAGAATCTACATACCAGTACAAACTGTCAATTTTCTCACCACTATCTATTGAACAAAATGCAACATCTATATCTTGGTTTATTCCATTGCCTCCACTATCTTCTTTTGAATAATTATGTTTACAGTCTGATGTTTGATGACCCAATTTTTGACATATATAACATTTAACACCACAAACCTTTTGTAAGTGACCAATTTTTCCACACTTATAACATTTAACATTATTTGTTTTTGCAATAAACGATGCAGGCACACTGGATCTATTTTTACCGCCACTTTTGACACTTTTTAATTCAATTAGCCTCTTTTTAACAGTTTTCAAACTCAAAATATCTCCAGATACGTTTTGATTGCCGTGACAATGTTTTCATATTCTTTTGGCATGGATAAAAGTAGAAAACATACCAAATCTGACTCACCAAAGCTTGCTCCCAAACTTTTTAACTCTCTGTGACTTTTATCATATGTTGAAGATCATCGAAACAGTTATATTTTAAATTCATTAGGTTTTGCAAATACTGTTTCCAGTTTTATGAACATTTCTCTTGCGCTCTCTATATCTTTCACATACTCCAGGTTCGAATCTGCTACACTTTGAACTATTATATTTCTTGCTTTATTATCCATTTTCATCCATTTATCATCTTTACTTACCTCCGGTATCTCTTCTAAAACATTTTGGACTTCAAGTGCTTTTAATACTGACTCAACTCGAAATTTCCAATTATCAAAATTGCCTCCTTTGAATGAGATTATTCCATATTTATTTTCATTGCCTTCAGCCATCGTTATTGCTTTTATTATACTTCTCCAAATAAAAAAAAAACTTGCACCGCCGACACGTGCCACGCCTTCTTTTAACCTTACTTTTTAGTTTTCTTTATCTTGCTTCACCAATCACCAAAGCTCATCTGGGCCCATAACCCATGTTAGAGAAAATAATGTGGAAATAGTTTGATGAAAGGTTTTTATTAACTAATAACTATTTTAACAAATAATACTAAAATTAAAATAACAACTCAGGTTAAGTGCACACATTGTTATTTAATTTTTCGAAAGTACTTACATTGACATTGTTGTTGACAGACGACAATACAAATAGTCATCTTTATAAAACAAAATTACCAACTATAATAGATACAGGTATTTCAACACTGCATTCTTTCAGTTTCAACCAAAAATTCTGGTATAGCTGAACTGGACATTCAAGCAACCAATCCAATTCACCAAACTTTAGCTGTAGAAAAAAGCACTACAGATGACATTACACAGGTAAATAAACAGTTAATACTAATTTATTTTCTACCATAAAAATCATTTGCATTACCAATTTGGATATTTTCTTCTTAGGTAGCCTTCCTTCCATCTATAGCAGGTCTCTATCAAGTGGCGGTGAACTTTGGTGGCATCCCAGTAAAAGGATCTCCGTTAGCTTTAGGTGTAGGACCTGTTGGACCAACGCCACCTCCCAGAGCTGTTGGTAAAGGCCTCGAAAGCGGCAGAGTGGGCGAGAAATCAACCTTCACTGTCAGTAGCAGCGTACAACCAAGAGTATCTGTTGAAGCAGCTGAAGGAAATGTAGATGTTCAAATTCAAAGCCACAAACCTGGAGAATACCAAGTTTCATACATGCCGAAATGGGTGGGCACATACGACATTATTATTACTATAGGACCCAATGATGTAAGTATTTTAAACAATATAGAGAAATTTATTTTTATCAAATTTGTATTAGCTTCCAGGTTCACCATTTAGACCAAATATAGTGGATCCTTCAGCTGTAAGAGCAATAGGAGGTTGGAATCAGTACATAGATGACACTGGTCGGATTAAACTTCCCGCTAAATTAGCTTTCGACACATCTAACGGTGGTCCTGGTAATTTAGAGTGCAAAGTATCTGGTAGAAAAATCAATCCAGAAAAGAGTAATTCTAGGATAAGATTTGAACTTTCCGGAGAAGGTTAGTAATATCTACATTTTAATAATTTTCGAATAAAATACCAATAAAAATTGTTTTTGTAGGTTTAAGTCCTGGAGAACATGAATTTGATATAAGATTCGGTAATTACCCGCTGCCTGAAGCGCCTAACACAATCGTTTGCCTTGGAGATCAAGTTGTCTTAAGTGGACGAGGATTGGCTCATGCGCAATGTGGCGAAGCTGCTGTTTTTACCATAGATGGATCGAAAGCAAGTCTTGGTAAGTTAAATAATTTAAGTTTACAATTAATAATAAATGGATTAAAAAGCAATATCCTTGCGCAAATAATGGGGGCATCAATAACTGTCTCACATTTGTGTAACAGGAATTGTAAAAATATTTTTGGTACGTGGTGGAGTATTTTGCTTTACCACTTGGTAGGTAAGTTGAAAGTTGGTAAAGTGATAGAAATACCCCAAGTCTTCTGACAAAAGATTATCGCATTTTTAGTTACAGTTTACACGTGTCTTCTTATTTCAGTTGCGCTTAGCAGCGAAAACTTTATTAAGGTGCGTTTACACGAATACAAGTCACTTTGAAAAAATTAAGATTACGTTTTACAATTTGTCTACAAAATTTATGCATCGGCCAGGCGCGTCCTTAATACACCTACTACATAAGAGTGCGGAACACTCGCCCGTTAGCCCAATCGGATTAGTATTTTAGATTCTGAAAAATTCGAAGCAGCAATTTTCCTTCGGAATTCCTTGGAGGGGGGTCTCTGGTAGTCTAAATTCAAAAAGTTGGGATTCCAAAGTTGTCGTTACCTCCGCCATCTTGATTTAAAGGGTTATTTTTTGTATCTTGAATAACTCATTTATTTTCAATTTTACACGGAAAATAGTTTTTACAAAAGTTATTTAAAATTAAATTTCCTACAATTCTGCTTTTTTTGTACGATCGATTTTTTTCGATTTATACCCGAAAAGAGGGGGTGAATTTTTGGTTATAGAATAACTCGTTTATTTTCAATTTTACGAGAAAAATTGTTATAAACAAAGTTGTTTAAAATTAAATTTCCTACAATTCTGCTTTTTTTTTGTACGATCGAGTTTTTTCGATTTATACCCGAAAAGAGGGGGTGAATTTTTGGTTATAGAATAACTCGTTTATTTTCAATTTTACGAGAAAAATTGTTATAAACAAAGTTGTTTAAAATTAAATTTCCTACAATTCTGTTTTTTTTGTACGATCGATTTTATCGATTTATACCCGAAAAGAGGGGAGAATTTTTGGTTATAGAATAACTCGTTTATTTTCAATTTTACGAGAAAAATTGTTATAAACAAAGTTGTTTAAAATTAAATTTCCTACAATTCTGTTTTTTTTGTACGATCGATTTTTTTCGATTTATACCCGAAAAGAGGGGGTGAATTTTTGGTTATAGAATAACTCGTTTATTTTCAATTTTACGAGTAAAATTGTTATAAACAAAGTTGTTTAAAATTAAATTTCCTACAATTCTGTTTTTTTTGTACGCTCGATTTTTTTGTATTTATCCCTGAGAAGAGTGGGGGTGAACCTAAGTATTGTATTGTCACGTTTATTATTGATGTTGTACCATTATTTTTTCTGTTTGTTTTTTTTTGCTGATACCTGGAATTAAAAAGAAACGTGATAATACAATGATAAGAGTTTACCCCCACTCTTCTCAGGGATAAATACAAAAAAATCGAGCGTACAAAAAAAGCAGAATTGTAGGAAATGTAATTTTAAACAACTTTGTTTATAACAATTTTTCTCGTAAAATTGAAAATAAACGAGTTATTCTATAACCAAAAATTCACCCCCTCTTTTCGGGTATAAATCGAAAAAATCGATCGTACAAAAAAAAAGCAGAATTGTAGGAAATTTAATTTTAAACAACTTTGTTTATAACAATTTTTCTCGTAAAATTGAAAATAAACGAGTTATTCTATAACCAAAAATTCACCCCCTCTTTTCGGGTATAAATCGAAAAAACTCGATCGTACAAAAAAAAAGCAGAATTGTAGGAAATTTAATTTTAAACAACCTTGTTTATAACAATTTTTCTCGTAAAATTGAAAATAAACGAGTTATTCCATAACCAAAAATTCACCCCCTCTTTTCGGGTATAAATCGAAAAAAATCGATCGTACAAAAAAAGCAGAATTGTAGGAAATTTAATTTTAAATAACTTTTGTAAAAACTATTTTCCGTGTAAAATTGAAAATAAATGAGTTATTCAAGATACAAAAAATAAGCCTTTAAATCAAGCTGGCGGAGGTAACGACAACTTTGGAATCCCAACTTTTTGAATTTAGACTACCACAGACCCCCTTCAACGAATTCCGAAGGAAAATTGCTGCTTCCAATTTTTCAGAATCTCAAGCCTGTTCTTCACCTAATCCGATTGGGCTACGTTGGTAAATTTGAAAACTACTCTCCATCCTAAAGTGTAAAATATAAATTTTGTAAAATAATTGTATTTTTAAGAAAAGGGCGTCTTCGCAATATTTGCCGAAAATAATGTCTAAAGCAAGTAAGCTAAAGTAAAACAAAAGTCAATTCTTTAATATTAAGTAAGTTGAGACAATTAATATTTAAAATATCCTGTCTTCCAACATCATTTGTAGGTCCTAAAAACTAAAAATGTAAAAAAATTTGTTTATTTTTATATAGATCACACGATGCAATTGATTTTTAATAATTTATTTACCTGTTCAATAATAAAGCGATGCATTGTCAAGCGTGACCAAAAAATTTGTAAGTTATGTAATTCTTCTCTTCTATTAAGTCTGTGAATGTTTTTTGACCTAAACACTTAACATTAAGTTCATATAGATATGAATTTGCTGTTAATTTTTACCTGTAAGCATTTAGAACGTTCTCACAATATGAGGTACATGCTGGGTATATGACTTTAAGTATGTTCTAAGAATGTCCTGTTCTAGCACGTGATTAGTATATACATTTTAGAATATACCTTTAGGGCACGTACTCACCATATACTTTTTAGAATATACTTTCAGAGCACGTACTTAGTATATACTTTCTAGTATATATACTAGTAGTATATATACTTTATTTATACTTTAATAATAGTATATCCTAGGTATGTTCTAAGAACATTCTATAAAAGATATGCTAAAAAGAACATAAACATTACGTTCTTAGTATATTCATAAGATTGATGTTATGTGGGTATTCACACTTTAAAAAACCCAAAAAACTGAAATATTTCTCCTCTAAACAAAATTTTGGGGTCCTACAAAAATGACTTCATGGGGATCGACTAGACATATTGTACACAGAACACTTACTCTTAGAACGGTATCTCCCATGTTAAAAAAGGATGATAGAGTTTTTAGCGGCACCTGGTGGACGTGGTTGATTTTTTTTCAATTAAGTCCTTGTCTGGTAAGAGGCCATATGAAAAAAGAGAAAATATTAAAAAGAAGAAGAGAAGAAAAGCGCGGGGCTATTCACACAAATTGCATTTTTGCTTTATTATAGCGAATATCGCTATAATAAAGCAAAAATGAAGTTTGTGTGAACAAATCTTAATTTGGCTAACAGTTTTTAGATAAAAAAAACAAGAATATTCAAAAAATAAATTTATTAAAGAATATATATAATACAAATCCAATATTTAAAAAATGTAATGTATATAAAAATTGTATTATGTATGAAGTAGCTGGATGGCTGCTACATATTCCAGGATACAACTCTGTCCATTATTTTGTGAAGAACTTTAGCTGTGAAAAAAGAAAGACAGTATAAGTACAATCTCATTAAAATAAATGTATTAATAAAAAATTATAAGCCCGAGGAATACTTTATTTTTTAATAAGTCCAACATCTACGATACAGCTTTGCAACCCCAAACGTCATGAAACAGAAATTTCACAGTATATGCCGCGTTTGAGAATCCACATCGGACGCAACTGAGATGTAGTAAAACTTTGATCATGTGATTCAGTTTACGTAAATGTAATGGGACAGATGTGTCCGATTTAAAATAAACTATTTGAGGCGCTGTTCTCCACATCTCGGCAAGTGGGCTAAAATAATAATTTATAATACTCTTAATATTACCTTATTTTAATTATTGTGCCACTATACTGTATTTGCTCAACCAGAATGAGTTGCAATGATTGCAAAAGTTGCAGAATAGAGGTCTGAGGATAATACTGAGCTGTTCGAGATTGGAACCAATCAATTCCATCTTGAATGTTCTTCAGTGGTTGCCTGTTAAAAAATATTTGCTATTCTATTCCCTGCTTTTTATATTTAAAATTAAATCAGGAATCTCTCGAGTATATTTACAAAATATTTTAAGTTATAATCAGGATGTTCATGAACCTAAACAGGTAATAAGAAAAATGTACACAAAATTCAGTGTTTTTTAAAGGTGTACAGGCTTTTAATAATTTGCCTGAGGATATTAAATGTTCTTCAAATGTGGCAATATTTAAAATAAAACTGCGTGAATACCTGTTCACCTATTGACGTTTTTTTTTTCTCTTTCTTGTTCTTTTATTGTTTTGTTTAGTTGACATGTAAGTGTACTGTATCTTATGTATTTTTTATTGCATTTTAAATGTATGTTGATTCTATATTTATGTATTTTTTATATTTTAAACGTGAAGATGTATTGACATGTAAAAAATAGTTTTTTGACTAAATAAACGTTTTATATATAGGTATGTGGATAAAAAAACGCTCGAGATGTAAAAAATGCATCTGATGTGGATTCTCAAACACAGCAATAAGTATAAAATAAATAAGTAGAGTACTAACTTTCCTTCTCGAAAAGAAGTCCAACATATATTATTAGTCTGCTTCTTCTTCTACGATACAGCTTTGCAACCCCAAATGTCATGAAACAGAAAATACACAGTATAAGTATAAAATAAATGAGTAGATTACTAACTTTCCTTCTCGAAAAGAAGTCCAACATATATTATTAGTCTGCTTCTTCTTCGAACCTTTACTTGAAGTAGGTGTTTGATCAACATATTCAATTTCTACGTTATTTGAGGAAAGTCCATCCGCTACTCTTCCAGGAACTGCTGGTAGAAATAGCGTTGGAAATGCTTCAGGTGTTAGACCTCGACGAGAGCCAACTACTTTATACTTCTCTTCAAAATGTTTATGACATACTACAAAGGTGGAATAAATTTGTAGTCTTGTTTTATTATTAAATCTTGGACAACGAACAGCAAGTGCACAAATATCAAATAAATCGGGTGAAT